CACAGCGGCAGCGGTCGCGCCGCGATGGACATCTCTGGTATAAATGACCAAAATGTCTCAAATTGAAGTAAACTTCATTTAACTTTCATTTTTAAGTGTTGTATATAAAAATTTATTGTATGCTTGAAAATTCGTATTGGAGCCCTATCTATTTATGTTTCATATAGTGTTGCCTTTTTTTGTTTTATTTTTAAAATATTCATGTATCTACAAGTGTGGATAAATAGAGTTTCATAAAAATATCAGTTGATATTTTTCATTCAGTCAAAGTTCCTTTTGTGATTTGAAAACGTTTTATTTTTGTTTTTTTTTTCAAATCATCTTGTCTTCATTAAAATGAAATAAAAGTTTTTTAAATAAAAAATGTCTTTTATGAACAGAAAAAAGTTCCGTGTTTCTTATACATTTTGTACACTTTGCTACAAAAAACCAAGTGTACAGATACATGGTGTTCTAAAAAACAGTGTACGCATACATTCTATTTCAGATTCTCATTAAAAACACTGAATAAATATATTGAACAATTGTTTCCATTGGCTATGAAACATAATGAAGAGAATAATAACACAAAATGAACGTCCGCAATGTAATATTATATGAATGGTTATAAGAAAAAAAAAAAGTGGCGACTTATTTCTCATTTTCATTCAATTCATAATAATATGGTTACTCTCTTCAATGATTTGCCTGATCTATCATTGATAGAAATATTTTCTTATTTATCTTGTGTAGATGCTTTATGGTGTTTCAATAATCTCAATATTCGTCTAACAAGATTATTAATTGAACGAGGTTTTTATAATCATGTTAATTTATCATCTATGCCATATCATCGATTCAAAAAATTCTTATCATTACTTCAATTCAATGAAATCGAATCACTTATCATTGATTGTTATTCATCCCCTCTTCAGCTAAGATGTTGGCCTTATTTACCACATTTAAGAATATTAAAAGTAAAGGGTGTACGAGATGTAATTGATGTTTTTAATTTTGCACAACGACATTCCACCACATTAACTCACTTAGGAGTTGAATCAAGCGAGTATTTTGAAACAGTAAGTATATTTCAAAATAATCTTATTTTAGCAGTAATTTAAATAGAATGTATGGAAGAGTAAAAGACTCTAGTCGAACATTTTTTTTTCACGTACTTGACTTGTACAGATATTAAGACTTGTTGATATCATGATTTGTTTTGCTCACGAAGTTTATGCACACGAGAAAAAAGTTCGACTAGAATAAGCATAAAATTTTTATATTTATGATTGCTTGATAGTTCTTATCCATTTATTCATGTATAAAACGATGCTTGAAGACAATATTATTATATTCTATGCAAGAATATATCTAAGAAAAGCATTTTGATCAGATATTATTCATTTGATATTTCTTTCCGACGAACTAGATCAATTATTTTTGAAAGATCAATGTTAAATAAACAAAAATATCTCTTGAAAACCTTTTGTTTTTGTGTAAAAGATCTCAAAACTCAAGATCTTTCTACATAGATATCTATTTATTGTTTTTAACTAAAGAATTTCTCTATTATAAACAAGTTTAGATAAGTAAAGAAAAAATTTAAACTTTTAATTAGCAATACAGATGTATATCCCTGGAAAGAATAAACTTTCCTCTGTATTTTGAGGATATTGTTACCGTAGAATTATATTTTTCAAAAAGTAATGATATATTCTGAAAGCGCGTGAAGTTCTCTATCATCCTGTATATTTGCATTTTTGTCTCGACTTATGCTAAAAATTAAATTAAGTACAGTGAAAGTACCCTTATCATCAAATTCTCAAAGACTGGATTTAGTCATTATCATCCCAAATATTTTTGAAGGTTTTTATAGCTTTAAAAATGCTTTTTAAAAAAAAGGTAATTACATAATCTGATAGAACTTGTAATTCTCTATCACCCTGTATATTTTCTTATTTTCTTGCATTTATTTGTTGAAAAATAATTTGAGGACAGTGAACATACCCTCAAGGGACAAGTACCAAATATTCGCATTTTTGTCACTATGTAAATTGAAAACAATATATTAATATGTAAGGTGATAAAGAATTTCAAGTGCTATCAGAATGTATAACTTCGTTTGTAAAAATTTATTCCTATAAGAATAATAATTTGAGAAAAAAAAGAAAAAAAGTAGCGAAAAATACGGATTTTTGGTATTTGTCAATTGAGGGTACGTTGACTGTACTCAAATTATTTTTTAACAAATGTAAGGCAATAGATAAATATATGGGATGATAGAGAATTCCAATCTCTATCAGAATATGTAATTACTTTTCTAGAAAGCTGTTTTTATAGTGATGAAAATTTTGAAAAAATTCAAAATCCAATCTGTGGAAATCTGGTGATAACGGGGCTTTCATTGTACTAAATCTATTTTTTAGCATATAAGTCGAGACAAAAATTGAAATATACAGGATGGCAGAGAAATCCACGCGCTTTCAGAATATGTCATTACGTTTTGAAAAATATAATTTTATGCTAACAATACCCTCAAAATACAAAGGAAAGTTTATTTTTTCAGGGGTATATATTTAATATTTTTTGTTTCATTAAGCGTGGTTTAAGCAGAAAATTATGTTATCCATCATGGAATTTATGTGAATTTATCACTAAAATTCTTAATCATCTGTCTGCTCTTCGTTCACTTGATTTCGGAATGGAATCATCTTTTTTCTTACATCATTGGCCTTTTAAAACAATACAAGTGCCTTTAGTTTATTTGGCTATTACATTGAATATAACGCGCACTTTGTTAGATATAATGTCGACTGAACCATTGTCACATACATTAGAAGAATTACACGTTAAACTACTTGATGAATCTTATCTTATAAATAGTTTAGGTGCTATACGTCTTTTACCCCGAATGAAAGCTTTACATACATTTAGTTTTGTTAAATCATCGAATTGGCATTCGATTGTTGAATGGACATTTGTTAATCTATTAACTTCTTCTAATATTATGCCTGTTTTACGACGAATGAATTTTTCTCTTGTTATTAGTGTTGATGATCTTATTCGAATGAGAAATTCAGCACTTTTTACAGATTTTCGTCATATTGATGTTCATTATGCATTTATTATCGATGATGATCGTCCACATATAGAACTTCTTAATTATGTACCGCTTGGTAGTCAATCTCATCCTCGTCAAATGGCTAGTGCAACATTTATTTCTGATTGTTGGCCTGATAATCAACCATCTAGAACTCCAAGACAAACTTATGTAAGTTTTCATTTTCTTAAAGATTATTTCAATATTAGACTTGTCTCTTAAAAATACTATGTCTATTTTGTTTTTAGTTGACGAAATCGAAAAATCGACAACATCTATTCTACAGTTTACCATGGATTTTTAATGAATTTTTTCAATTAAGTGTTCCAGATAGATGTATTAGTGAATTAGAAGTGTTTATATCTTCTTCTTCAATTACTAAAATTCATTCGTCTCATTTAATTAAATTAAATATGTCAGACAATCTTGCATCATCTACAAGTTTCTTCTCTCAAATAATGTCTTCAAATAAGATAGTGGAACTTCATTTATATCGATGTAATAGACAAGTGTCTATGAATTTACCGAATGTTTCTCATCTTATTCTTATTGATAGTTTGGATTCATTGAATAGTACTTCACTTTCATTAAATATTCGGTCTATTCAAATCATTCTTCATTATGAATGTCTTAGTTTTGCAGCTGGTGATTGGACTGCTTTACATTCACTCTCAACTTTACCATTGTTGAACTCTTTACGTATAATTTTATATAGTATGCGTATTCCTCCAGATGATACAAATTGTCAAATTATTGCGAACATAACACCAAAGTTATTGGATTTCTCTTTTTGTTTTCGACGTATTTATTGTCAAAATTCGTATGATATTGATGCAGCATACAAGAAACATTGTTTATTCATCAAACAATTACGAAATTGTATTCTTAATTTATCATTAAATAAACAAGCATATGTTTTTGTTGAAAAAGATGGTTGTGGACTTGTTATATGGTTTTGATTGATTGATATATTTGAAACATTTCATCTATTTGATTTCGTCATAATAATCATTCATGTTATTTCATCTCTCTTGTCTAATATCAATATTATTATAAATAGTTAATAAAAAGCTTTAACAAACAAAGAAGGACCACTAACATTATTCTTCCTAGAAAACATAAGCTATGTCCTATTGATTGTTTGAAAGATATTTCGAAAATAAGTTCTTGCGATAATGTACAAGTTAAATATGCGATATTAAATGTTCAAGAACAGAAATAAAATATATTAGGTTTGACCAAATCAGATTTTAAATCAAAATCTGATTATAAAAGGTTTAATATACCCTTCAGAGTCGTAACCGGTAGGGTTTTTCCTTACCGATACCGGTACCGATCAGACCGGACCAACCGGTATACTGGTATGAGTCATTTCTTTGTTTTTTGACACTATAAGACTTAAATCGATCCCTGGATGAGTCATATTTTCCTTTTAATCACTACAGGCATTATATAAAAGTACTGTTTCACCACTATAGTACTTTTTACTATTTGCTTTATGTGTTTTCTGTTTCTCGACATCTATTGATGGATAGAAAACTTCATACGACTATAAAATCCATGTTAATTTTGCACTTTGATTAACTATTCCACAGATATGGACACTTTATTACTTGTATACTTGATCTACCGTCCATACTATACTCGCTTTGTCATCCTTCGTGGTTGTGAGGAATATGTGCAATAAACAATAGCAAGTACAAATAAATCTATGATAAACTATAATGTTAAATAATTATTCGATTTTGTTTGAACAACAGGACGTGACATTCACGTGGATTGAGCAAATATAGAAAAAGACTCTGACAAATTTTGACTTAATAGGATATTTGATGCAAATTTTTGTATCAAGATGGTCTTCGACATTAGGCAAAGGTTTCTCATTTTCGAAAAAACCCATCTTTTTGATCATTTTTGCGGAGAAAAATAGAGAAAAATTCAAAAAAATCCAGACCGGGCCGGTAAAGAAAAAGTTGTTTCTATCGGCCGGTAAGGAATCTTCTACCGGACCGATCGGTCTACCGGTTCTGTTACAACTGTAATACTCTCCAAACAGGCATAATGCATATATCATACCGAGATATAGTGTGAACAACAACCGAGAAAAATCGGCTTTTCAAAATATCATTATGATATTTTCAATATAAATAGTACTCATCGTTAGCTACAAATATCCTATAGTGACGATTTGAAAAACTCATATCCATTATCATTTGGTATTGACACATTACTGAAAATTTGTGGAAATTTCCTGATAATGGACACTAAGTACCTTTCATCTCTATAGTTAAAAAAGTGGAATGCATTTTTTTAGAATAAAGTAAGACTTAATAATAGTTAGAAAACTGTTCGATTAGAAGCTTGAAAAAGAAAGACGTATTTTCTGTCGTTTGTCAATGACATATAATGGAAATGATAAGAAAATTGAATAGGAATGCATTATCTGGGTTATCTTTCTCAATAGTGAACATGAAGACAATTGTTTTCTTTGCGTGTCGATGAGAATTGAAAAGAGAACAACTATCAGCCAATAAAAATTTTTAAAAAAACATCGGGACATTTAACTGTGAACAGCAATGGTAGCGTTTTCTGAATTCAAACTAATATTGGACTTCGCTGCTTGGAATGTGGTAGAGAAACGATTTGAATTAAATCACAATAAATAGTTTCTACTGGACGTTTTCTAGTGAGATTTGTATACTATGAATATGATCGTGCTCTATTTACGTACAGCTGGGTGTCCACGCGAGATAAGCGAAGTTCAAGTTTTTTTTTATGGCAGAAAATGATTAAAGACGTATTCTTTGGAAATATATAACAATTAGTAAGAACTCACAGAAAGATTGTGCAATGCTACAACAAATTACATTGACAAGTGCGATACAGTAAAACTCAATTTTATAGAAACGCTGTAACAAATAAGAAAGTTAAAATCATAGATCATCAAAATAGGAGTGTTTTGGAATTAACAATTCATTTGTAATGGATAAAACCTCTCAGAAGGAGACATTTAATAGACTTCAAATCATATCAGAAGGTCAAAACTTAACATTTTTCAGTCACAAAAATGTATTTCGTACGATGGATAATGTAAATCTACGCTCTAAGAAAACAGCTTTTTTTTTGTTTTTACAGAACCTGGGATCAGAAGAAGAATCTTTTTGGCTCCATTTTCAATTGATACTCAATTATCAGTTCATGTCATGAATTAATCACTATCAGGAAATTTTGTTTCTTTTTGTAGTGAATCTTGAAAAAGAATTCAATGTAATTATTAAGAAAAATTCATGTTTCATACTCATCACTGAGCATGTTCGAATTGATCATCTTGAACAGTACTTGTTTTGACTTCAAACCGAATACGAAAGTCTTACTTACATTTCTCATTTTATCATAATTATTTATATGCTTCTAACTATACACATGATATTCTATATAATAATCAATTAAATTAGAGATTACCTTTATTTAAGAGGCATTTTTCTCACCTGGTGACTTCAATAAAATCATTCGCTATTCATTTCATAAAATTGACGAAATATTACAATAACATAAACTTGCTTTCAATTATTTATACATTTATGATACTTGATTGAGAAATAGACGTTATCACTGTTTAAATTCTGTTTTTAAACTTACCAAATCGGTAAAATTTAAGTTTCATCAATCTTTAACACTACTTCTGCTTTCATGAATTATTAATATTGAAGTACAAAAATAATTTTCCTTTAACAAAGAAAAAGAAATGAATAGTTAAAATGCTCCAATGTATGTTATAGAAAAATAATTTACTGAAATAGTCTTGCACGATAAGCAAGACTATTATTTACTTTTTGTTGACTAATCTATCAGCAATTTATTTTAGATTGGCATGAGCTGAAAAAAAATTAACATAAAAAAATATCCTAGATTCTGCCTAATATACAATTTAATGATGTAACTTTGCATTCACATGCTTTTGGTTCATAGTATTAAATATAATATCCGTATGAGTATCTCATCAATATAAAAAAATGACTTATTAATAACTCTATTAGATAGTTGTAGGTTACGATCTATGCACGATATAATTCATTTGCGTTTATTTATTCATCATTTTTCTCTGAAACCTATTTATTAGTACTATTCTTTCGTTTTTATTCTAATCAAATAGAATCTCTTTTTCTTAACTCTTGATATATCTTCAGACACTTAATTGAAAGAATATAAAGAGAGATAACTTCTCTGAAATATATTACATTCAATAAAGATCTTTTCATTTTCATGGAAAACAGATGTCTGTTTTAACTTTATCGATGTACATATTGCTGTGAAAGTATCAATGAATAGGAAAAGAAGCGCGCATTGTTTCTTATTAAATATCTTTATTCTTATGTGTATAAATTCTATTCTTCTGTTCATTTTCCCATTTATACTTCAGATTAATTATTCCTTTTGTTTTTTGAAAAAACCAAACATTCTCTTAGAAAATTATATTATCGATGTTTTCTTTACAAATAGTTTGACGATAATTCGTTGTAATCCATATGAACGTCATATACTACGTGATAAAACAATAGAAGCAATTGGATATATTAAATGTTCAAATAGGAATTTATTTTTACCAGATAATCATATTGAATATATAACATTACTGGAATGGCTTTATACATCTATAAAATGTAATAAGAAAACTAACATCACAAAAGAGAAAACTTATTTTGAGATAAAACATAAAGCTAAAAAAGCATTTAAAAACAATCCATTAGAATTAATACGTGTTGGATCAACAGGTTCAAGTAAATTACATTGGAATGAAAAAGATTTTCAATTATATTTTGAACATCCACCAAGAAAATTATCACTAATTAATACTGAACAGCAAGGCGAAAGTTTTTCAACAGATGTCTATTCGTTCAAACAACGACCTATTCTTTGTCGTGAAAGACATTTTTTATCGGAACAACCATGTTCTAATAATAAGCAACATCAAAATTTCTCATATGTTTGTTATTATAAAGTAAATTATGCAATTAGTTTTTGTATGAGAATATAAATTTTGTTTTTATTTGTGAGATTGGCGTTGCAGAACCACCAACAATAGCTGAAATGGAAAAGGAAATAAAAACATTACCAAATGCTATTGATCTTGATGAGAATTCAATAGTAGATCTTTATATAAATAAAACAATAAAAAAAGATTCATCATGGAGTTTGTTTTTAATGATCAGTATTTTTATTATCATATGTGTTATCAGTGGCATTAGTATATATTTTTATTATTGTCAATCTGAGAAAGATGAACAAAATGACAACATTATACGTATCAATAGTAATACATCGATTAAATCGAATATCTCATAGAGCTGATCTCAAATTATGTATGTCATTATAGTACTTAAAATGACAAAGACATATACATCAACATTCATGAATAATATATTGTAGGTCTGGTATAGTTTGTTTTTGTTATTGTTCTTATTAAAATACTTTTCATATACAGTGGCACTTGATTATTATTTCAAGAAAGCTAATGATAACCATCGTAGATATCATGACGGCAAATTTTTATCTCAAAAAAGATTTATAACAATCAGAATTGCATACATATATATGATATTTATAGAAATTTGTTCGATAAAAGGTCTGTCAAAGAGAAACTGTATGTATTCATTTGCATTTCTTTCATTTATAGATCTTGCTCAGTATTATTCTCACTTAGTCAATTACATACCAGATAACTTCTTTAACAAAAAGAATTATCACGCTTCGATTGAGTTCGCAGCGTTGCTTTCTAATCGTATACATTTCGTTCGCGAAATATTATATATACTCTTAATTATAATGTATGATATGTATATTTCAAGCCGAGTAGCAAGAATACAAATATTCAACAGCACGTCTATTATTGCTAAGAACAACGATGAAATATGTCACTTATGCTTCGCTTGTTTGTCATCAACACATTACCTTTTCCGTCTTTTCCTATTGATCAGTGTTTCTTCATTCTTTTTACCTTGCTATACATCATTTTGCTTGATAAAAATAAAATATGGATGTACATAATAACATTGAATAAGTAAAAAATATCAAAGCTCTACAACTCAATAAACAAAATTGATATATGATCTCTTTAACGTTACGATAGACTCATTACATTGAAGGTAACATAGTAACATTGTTTTTTCATAGATGAATTAATTAATATTTGGCTGATTGATGCTAAAGTTGAAAAAAAACTCAATCTTAGCAATTCACTAAAATTAAAGAATATTAGCATTTTAAATAGACATTTTAATTCTAAACATTACAATAATATGATTATTGTGTTGAGATATATAAGAGTGTGGATATCGCTTGTGTCTTCACACAAACAAAAAAAGCCACATACCTGTATCCACTCAGGACAGCAACGTTGCTAAACAGCTGTCGATAGACACTGTTGATGCATTCTCTTTGCATCATTAAAACTAATTGATACTTATTGAATTATGAGACTAAAACAAATTAGGTTAGTGGCTTGAGGCTTCATTCTAATTGACTTGGAATTTCGTAGTTCGAATCGATGACTTAACATGAAATCAAAACTTCTTCTCTTAGACTAATGGCTTGAGTTGTGTCGGAAAATAGATAACTTGCCCATCTCTGATAAATAGATGACCTATGTGAGTACGAAAAACCTAAAGCAAACGAAAGAATAAAAAGAAAAACCCCAAGAATATAATAGACGAAGTCGAATCGATCACGTACACGAAAAGTGGCAGCAAGTGCTCTGCAAACATGCATACCTTATTTATTTTTCTTTCATTTATAGCTCAGCATTTATGTATTTTCACCTATCGTTCGCTTCTGCAGTGTATACTTTTACGTTGTTTATCGCAAGAACGATTGTATTTGTCTTAAATGATTGAATTCCTTTCATTTGCATTTGAGTCCAAGCATCTCTACTGCATTTTTCTTCGACAAGTGTGTCAACATCTAAAGCAAAAGGAAGTGGTGAAAAAATATCGTCAACATTATTGACACGCATCTTGAATCTTATGTGCAAGACAACACCTCGTCTTGACGAAGCTTAATTATCTACTTATTGTAAACATGGAAAGTAACCGCAACAAAATCAGTCCTCATATAGAGAACAATAACATGCCACAATTTCACGATTCACCGAGTATCACAGCTATTATATTGAAAGAAGTAAATGGACAGAGAAAACCAGGACGCCGCTCTCTCGACAATATGGTCGGTAATGCTGTCGCTCGTGAAGAACGAACTAAAGAAGAAATTGTTAGCGAAAGACTTTGTCAAGTAAACTACATTCATCATTCTCAGTTCTCTTTCATTTAATACAAATACTGATTTTCAGGTGATCGTCAAACATCAGGATTGGGACATATATATTGCAAACGATTCTGATTATATTGCTTTCATCTCTAGTTGGTCGTGTCACTGGTGGTGTTGGCGTTTGTGTTGTCCTGATTGTACAGAACATCGCTTTTTGGAACCTTTAGATGGTGATTTTCGATGTGCACCACACCATGCTGTTGTCCACAACAATCTTCGAGTGTATGAATCACTCGTGCAAAATAAAAAATGTGGTATGTCGTGAGATTTCTTGCATCTAACATGTTCCCAATTTGTCTCTTTCTATTAGATATCGATATTCGAGGAGTCAACCGAGAAACTGTTTTACATATGTATGCTAGTCGACACAGATCGTTAAAGACTAATGAAGTCGTAAGTGATGTGAAGCGACTTGTATTAGTCTCATCGATTCATTTGAACATGTTTTATTTTTATTTTCAAGGATCCTGGAGAACAAATTTTAAGTATGTTCGTTAATGTCAACTCCAAGCTAGAAATCGATGCTCTTGATGATGAACTTCGGACATCGGTATGTTGATACTAAGGCCTATACTCATTATCATTCATTTCTTTGTTCCTAAGTCGACTCACTACAGTTATATTGCATAGAGTTCTTTATTTAACATTTTCTTTCTAAGCAACACTGTTTATTATCCATACGATGACGTACTGAAAATTCATCATCTTCGTAACTAAGTGATGAGAATGTATATACAACTACTATTACAATATGAAGAAAAAAGAAAGAAAGAGTGAGAGAGCAGCAAACAAGTCAGTAGCAAAGTAAAATATGAAGAAAAAAAGAGCAAATGAAAAATAAATAAAAAAAACATTTGAAAAGTGGTTCATCTGACGTCAGTCCATTGTGATTCGATATTTTTCGTGCAATTCAATTCAGAGTTGATTTTTGCTGGAGGATTGGGGTTAATTCAATTATGGCACGCCTACACATGATGAAATCGACTGTTTTAGTTTTTTTTCGAGAAATATACGAGCCACGAAGTCATTTGATGAAATATGATCTCAGGAAATGCAATTCAATTAGCTGAATTTTATATGAAGAGAACATTGTAGACGGGCACGAAGCTAGCTGAAATCAAACTGATGGAAGTACACTCTAATGCACGTGAAACTATGAGTTTGAGAATGATTCATTCGACTACAGAATAATATGCACTGAGAATCGAACGCAAAAGATCATAATGTACTTTTTATAGTACTTCACCATAGCGAGCATAATCAGGAGGAGAAGTAGACGTATTTTTAGAAGTATTTTTTTATATCCTTTACATTTCATCACTAAAAGTCATGATCGATGCCATAGTAAACAAAAAACTTTCGTGCGTAGGTCGATAGAAGTTCAAATTTGAACTTTGTTCTTTCTTTCGTCGCAAACGAAACAGAATTGAAAGCATTATTTCATGATTTACTTTTCTTGCTTTTACGTGGTTAAATGAGGAGTTCCTGGTTATTGTTGGAATGTCATAGTTGTAACAGATACTGCATAATAAATGGGACAAAATTGTTCTATTTTTTTTTGTAGAACATTGTATATCATTTCTCATCTATTGGTAGAAATAAGGCAAATTAAGAACAACCAAGAAACATAAAACATCGATTTATTATCACAATTTTCGATAGATTTTAATTTTGCAGCCAGGTTTCAAGTATAATACGGTAGTGTAGCGATGAAAGTTTTGTGGAAATTTTTAAGCAGATCTAGGTCAATTATTGAAACTCGATCACTTCTTCATGCGAGCATCTAATTTGCAAATAATTTAATGCACAAATTAATCGATACTGAGAAAGAACATCTGATTTAGTAAACCATAACTAAGCGTAAAGTACAATGAAAATGTTCAACATATGGACTTTGTAGAGTAGGAAGATTTCTACCCTCTAAAATTTACAGAAAACTCTAGAATTATAAAAAATGTTCAACAAAGCAGCACATATATCTAATTGCATCATTTCTGAGATATTCAAGCATTAGTGACCAATACCTGAAAAAATCTTATTTTTCGGCGAAGGCCAATCGACTGCAATGGAATACCTTTTCAGATCATGTCTGCAATGCAATAGCTAATAACAACCTAATTAAGAAGTTGAATAAATTGAATACAAAAAAGTTACGACCTGCATTTTACGTACGTAGGTTATCTTAGGTCAGGATTCGAGTTTTTTCCGTCGCGATTCGCAACATGCCCGGTTCCAACTGAGATCTCACTGGTTCCAAGTAGAACTCAATGAGTTCTATCTAACGTACTACTTTCTTTTCCAAAACGATCCCTCTCTTCCAGTAAAAACCTCTTTTTACCACAAAAAAAAACATGAAAAAATAACCAAAATGAACCATAAACCGTCGTGATTCGCCCAGAAACCTATTCCAACAAAGCCGTCACTGGTTCCAGATAGATCTCGACGAGCTCTATCGAATGGGCAGCTTTTGTGGTCAAATATGGGTACCCAACCCTGAGAAATTGGCTCTCAAGGGCCAGCGCGTGCGTGGGATGCGACTGTGGCTGTGGGATGAAGCGAAAACGTACTCATTAACAACACCCACACCGAACTCTTTTCCACAGCAAACCAATAGTGTCCCCCTTACATCGTTTCGTCACCGCATCTAGAGACACAATGAAAGGCGATAAAGCAGATCAAAAATACGCCTTTATTAGCGTTTTTCAAGAAAAGGGCTTTGAAGGTCCTTCAAACCATTGTGTGCACAAACGTATTTTCAACCATAAACGCCTTGAAAGGCGTTTTTACGAAGACTCTGATTTCTTCGTTGAAATCATTTGAAACACTTCAGTCATTTATAAAAAGGCCTTTAAAGGGTGTAGGTGTGTGAGTACGGGTGTGTGGGTATGTGGGTGTGCGGGTGGGTATGCATAAAAAGAACGCTCATTCACACCGATGCCAATATCTACACCCACACGCACACTCCACACATCCACACCGTCGAGATCTATTTGGGACCAGTGATGGTTTTCTTGGAATCGATC